ATAGATAGATAGATAGATAGATAGATAGATAGATAGATAGATAGATAGATAGATAGATAGATAGATAGATAGATGACAGACATGCAGACAAAGAGAGTGAGTTAGAGATAGACAGAGATATATATATATAGATGGATGGAGACAGACAGAAACATGAATGGATAGATAGCGAGAGATACATAGATAGATAGAGAGGGAGAGGAGTTGGATGGAGACAGAAAGACAGACATAGATAGATACATAGTTACATAGATGCTACAAGATTCAAAATGGTGACAAAAAATATTCCATAAGGTTGGGATGATACAGCAGGGAATATATTTCTTCAAATATGTCTTTGTAAAATGCTGAAGGTTTTTATACGTTCCTAAAAACAGAGGTTTAACCACTGAGTGCTAACTTACCCTCCAGAGGCAGGAAGTTCCACAGATTAAATATGCACCCTTTTCCCTCCCCCAGTTGCTCTCTGTTTCCCATTTGGGAACTTAAGGGAAAGCCTTGCAAGGGTGGGGGTCAGGCCGGTGTAAAAGGAAGCTATAAATTATCCTGCAGTTGACCCCAGGAAAGGTTTTATGACATTTTATATTATGTCATAAAATGTGTTATGACCCACTTTTATGTCTTTAACATGTTTCATAAAATTGGCAGCATTTCAATTCCATGGAGGTCATGGATTCCAGATTTCGGATTCATTCTGCAAGTTAGCCCATTTGAGGTAACTTGGTTCAAAAATTGTTGACCTACGATGCAGTGTTTTGCCCAGAGTAAAAGCTACGTGAATGAGAGTGTCAGTAGCATAGACATGCCATAGCATAAATATAACTTTCATTTGCACTGGCAAACAAAAAAAAAAAAAAAGTGTGTGATTTGCTTTTTTGCTGTGATGTAGAACTGAGCTCACAATATCTCCCACGTTAAGCCAGTCACATTATTTAAAGCATTTTCTTAGTCCAAAATGGATTCCAAGGCAATCGTGACCCTTCCAAACCATCAGACATTTAGAAAAATTGGTGTGTGTGTATCTGTGTGTGTGTTTGTATACTATTTAATTACTTCTTTATCTAAAGCCCTCGAGGAGTGGAGAAATCAATCAACCTCAAACATAGAAGTTCTTCTTTTGACCAACTCTTTCCTCCGTCGCAATCTGAACTCCTGGATCAGGAGTTCCAATGCTCGGTCATTCAAACCCTGGTCGTCTCTCTCCTGGACTGTTGCAGAACGCTCTCCATGGGGCTACCCTTGAAGAGTACTCAGAAGCTACGACTGGCACAGAATGCAGGCCCATGGACAGTTCTTGGAGCCTGTAAGGTGGCCAATATTACACCGATGTTTCCCCAGCCGTTCTGGCTGTCAGTTTGCTTACAGGTGCAATTCAACGTGCTGGTTATTACCTTTAAAACCCCACATGGGAAGGGTCCAGGTTACGTGAGGAACAGTCTCACCCCAAAGGGATTGGCCTGCCCCACTTTCCTGTCCTTCTGCCCAGCTCTCCCAACTGACCTGGAGCCCAATGGAAGTACATCCTTCTGCTGGTGGTTAACAGACTAAGATAAGACCTTGCCTCTCTCCCCATGTGCATCTTGCTCCTTCCTCCCCATCTTTTGTCGATTTTAAACTATTTATTGCTTTAATTTTTATCAGTTTTCACTGGTTGTACGCCAGGTAGAGTCACCTCCAGGTGAGATGAGTGGCATATAAGTTGGGTAAATAATAAACACCACCACCACCCTCTGCTGATCACTGTTGACTCTCTTCCCAGGTCCGAGCAGTGAAGCCCAGAAGGTGGTAGAAGAATTAACTTATCGCCGAGCCTTGCGGGAGTTGCTGGAGATCATGAAGAAACAGGCAACCCCTAAAAGTCCTGACTCTCTTAGGCGAAGGAGTAAAGAGGCATCAACCGGGAAAGGACAGCAAGAGCAATCCTCAACGCCCCAGCAACCCCTTTCTCCCCGAAGAAGCCCCCGTGGGACAGGCAGGGCCTTTCCAGATTCTCCAGCCAGATCACTGAGACCTTTGGAGACCAGAACCAATAACCCGCCTACCTGCAAACCTCCCTCCTCTGCATCGGGGAAGCTTCCAGGTGTCAGGAAGCCAGCCCGTAAGGCTGGCAAAGTTTTGAAAGCCTCAAAGCCAAACATCGCACATCGTCCTGCAGCACCACCCCAACTCTCCCAGAGGTCTCCCCTGGCCTCCAAGGGGCATCGGCAAGCTGGCGGTCCATTTGGAAGGAACCGGCCGGTGAGAACTAGCACCCCGGACTCTACTTCGCGCAAGCGCTGCCCCAGGTTCCCGCCAGCAAAGGGAAGAGACGAGGCCGCCTCAAACCTGCGGAGGAGTTTGCTGGGACCCACCCTCAAAGGGTTTTCGTCCCTAGCTCTCCCGGCCAAGCCAGCGGGACGGAAACGGAAGAAGTGGCAGCCGCCCTCTAGGGGCAGCAGGCGCTCCCTGCGCTTGGAAGCCGCTTGCTCAAAGCAGGTCCCGGCCACTCAGGAACCCCCCCTGGAAAAGTCACAATGCCCGAGTGGGGGAGAGCCCAGAGAGCACAGGGAATCTTCTCTGGACTGTTCTCCCGGGGAACTGAAAAAGGAGCCTGCTCCATATACAGCTGGAGTTCGAGAAGGCTTGTTTCCAGAATTTGTGGATAAGGAAGGTAAGAGGATGTTCATCTGCAAAAGATATGTTGGGGGAAGTTGTGAGTTCTGGGGAGACCTAGAAGTGGAAGGGGAGCAGGGGTGAAATCCTCCCGGTTCGGCCCAGTTCGGCTGAACCTGTGAGCCGCGCAATCGTGGGAAGCTTTCCCCCTCTTTTTAAAGCTTTTTTATTCCTGCCGGTTCGTGCAAATAGGCAGGGAAAAAATGCTTTAAAAAGTTGACCACGCCCACCCATTCACATGACCACCACCCCCAAGCTACGCCCACAGAACCGGTGGGCCAAAAAATTAGATTTCACGATTGAGGGGGAGGCAGTGAAGTGGTGGTGTCAAGCGCCAGGGAAATCGGGCGATCCAGGCAGTTCAAATACGTGTAAAGATTTACTATAAGCTTAAGCCCTCTATAAAAGAATCTGAACTACTAATAGTTCAAGCAATTTGGCGGTAAATAAGGAATTCACGCTGGGCTGCCTTTGTAGGCGGGAAGGGACTCGTGACGTTTAAACCCCCCGCCCCCTCTGTCAGGCTCAGCCTGGACATTTCCTACAGGTGTGGTTTTCTATAACAGAATAACAACAGAGTTGGAAGGGACCTTAAAGGTCTTCTAGTCCAACCAGTTGCTCAAGCAACAGACCCTATACCAGTGATGGCGAACCTATGTGGCACGTGGAGCCATTTGTCAGGGCACGCAAGGCGTTGTCCTGTTAGTTCCAGCATGCATGCGCGCACTGACCACCTGACTTTGGCCTTCTTTTGAGGCTGTTTCGCCGGTTTTTGGATCCAGAGGAAAAACTGGCTCTACAGGCAAACCAGGACTTCAGGAACAGACTCTTGGTTTGCTCGTAGGGCCATTTTTCGCCCTCCTCAGACTCCTAGAAAGCTGCTGGAGCCTAAGGAGGGTGAAAAAAGCATTGCAAAAGTGGGGGGGAGCGCTGGTCACGTGCATATGCATGCCGGGGGTGGGGTGTCACACGCATAGCATTATGGGTGTGGCACGCCCACGCACGACCCCCCCCCCCCGTGCTCCTCCCCACTTTTGGCACGCGATCCAAAAAAGGTTCGCCATCTCTGCCCTATACCCTTTCAGACAAAATGGTTGTCCAATCTCTTCTTAAAAACCTCTGTACAACTTCTGGAGGCAAGCTGTTCCACGGATTAATTGTTCTAACTGTCAGGAAATTTCTTCTTAGTTCTTCGCCCCTTGATTAGTTTCCACCCATTGCTTCTTGTCCTGCCCTCAGCTGGTTTGGTGAATAGCTTGACTCCCTTTTCTTTGTGGCAGCCCCTGAGATATTGGAAGACTCCTATCCTGTCTCCCCTAGTCCTTCTCTTCACTAGACTAGCCATGCCCAGTTCCTGCAACCGTTCTTCATACGTGTTAGCCTCCAGTCCCCTAATCATCTTTGTTGCTCTCTCCTCTGCACTCTTTCCAGCATCTCCGCAGCTTTTTAATGATATGGTGACCAAACCTGGATTCAATATTCCGAATGTGGTTTTACCAAGGCCTTATAAAGCGGTACTAACACTTCACATAATCTTGATTCTATCTCGCTTTTAATGCAGCCTAGGACTCTGTTGGCTTTTTTGGTAGCTGCAACACACTGCTGGCTCACATTTGGCGTGCCAGGTGAACTTCCAGCCATTGGAGATTCCTAGCCATGACATAAAAAGAGAGCTATTTTGGTGTAATGTTAAAGGCATCAGGCTAGCAATGGAGAGATTGTGAATTCTAGCCCCCACCCCTTCCACTCCCTTAGGCACAAAGCCAGCTGGGTGACCTTGGACCAGTCACTTTCGCTTAGTCCTGGGAGGCAGATGGCAGCAAACAACTTAAAACCTTGCTAAGAAAACAGTAGGGATTTTTCCAGGCAGTCCCTGAGAACCAGACACAACTGATTAGAGGGGGCGGGGGGGGGGGAACATAACTTATTTATTTTTATTTTATTTATTTGCCATCAATCTTACTTTTGAGCGGCTTATAGCTGAATCTGATGCATGAAGAAGTCATGGTGCTTTAGTTACGCGGAGGAGAGCCTTCTCAGTAGCAGCTCCGACCCTTTGGAACGATCTCCCCATAGAGATTCGCACCCTCACCACCGTCCAGACCTTCCACATAGCCCTTA